AAGGGAAACACCTTACTGCTGTCACACCCCATCCAGCTAGCAGCAGTACGACTTCGCCCTCAGACCCCCATCATAGTGTAGCAATTTACACTATAACGGTAACTGCTTTTCGTCTAACCACTACCCAACAGACCTTTCTGGTATGGTAGGACCTCGAGGGAACAAGCGTTCCACCAGCATAGCTCGTTGGGTCATTGTGATATGCAAGGTTGACCACAACGTCAAGGTAGCAGCTATAGGTCGGGGGATGTTCACAAAGTAACGGAGTATATTTCATTCGTTTCTGTCTTGCATCTTTGACCTAGCACAGTTGTGTCCTGTTTAGATTAGAGTGTTTATTAAATTGTAGTTTCGTCTATTGCTTTGCTAATCTAACTTCTTGATTACACATGTCAATATCATTAGTCTGTTTTGTTATCTTTTTCAGTAGTATAAAAGGATGAAGTGTTTTCGGATAAAAGGAAACAAATTCCATGTAGAAAATTTTGAAAACATTTGAACTTGTTTAACTAGTTTTGAGTTATATATCATCATGATTATCTAACCCATTGGTTTCTAACCTTTCAAGGAACTTAGTCAAACGATTTCCACTTCCTTATACATCTCAGATGGGCAATTAAAGACTATAAACTGACTGGTACCACATGATTAATCTAATATAGACTTAACTTTTTTCCCCAGTTTAATAGTATGTGAAAGTGAACAGTTAGTTAGGCATTATTAACCCCATCTTCTACTCTCAATTCTTGTTTTCAATACCTTTATATAATTGAACAGATCGGAATAAAGATATCTTGCCAACATCAGAAATAATGTTTGTAATTATGTTGTAGTATTGGAGAATTGAACTTGAAATGAGTCGGTTGTCTGATACTGGTTGCAGTTCCCTTTTGAAAAAAATAAACAAATTCCAATGGAAAGCATCTTCAACACTAGTTGTACAAAAGGTGGCTATTGTTCCTCAGTAGCCTTAATTTTACTTTATTAGAACACAAACGTGGTACATCAAGGGCATCAAGAAATGACCCACACAAAATAGTATAGTAACACTATGAAGACATAAAGCGAAGAGAAGTTGATCAGTAAGAAACAAAGACAATAAGAATAGAATGATTAGGAGGGAAGTTCAGTAAAACACATGCAAAATAAAACACTCATTACTTTCCAGCAGCACCAAAAGGTAGAAGGAGGCTACAACATGACCACCATATCTGATAACGTCTCAAACAACTGAGTTGCGTGGTCTCTGGGACCTCACTCGGGGAGTTGTGATGCACCAACTAATCCTAAGCTGATACAACTACCCTTCATTTCACAGTGCCATATCAAACACTGACCACCCCTCCACTTCTTCTATCCACTCCAAGATTCCAGGCTAGCAAACAATGAACGATGTGAAAGCCGTTGAGACGACATGAGTAACACACATACTTACCTATATGGCGTTGCAACCGGATACTTGCGAATTCCTACAGACAAAATGCCAACCGAACACACAGAGTCATCTGCCATCCTCAAGTCGGAGAGGTCAGGTTTCACAGGTGTAGAGTAGAACTGCTCGCATCGAAGCATTGTAAATCTGACGTTTTGAAGTCAGACTAACGTCACGACAACGCCAGAGGTGTCCCAGATTGACGTATACCACTCTAGCTTTCGATATGTGGTGTGGAATTTCATCAGTCACACAACTACCCAGATACACGGACATATTTTCGACTACTTTCAATGGCTCATTAGGGAGGATGAGTGTAGGCGAGGCCTCCAGTTAATCTTACAGAAATACTTTGCACTTGAATATTTCAAAGCACATTACCATTCTGATGGACACTAATCATCAACTGATTAAGTGGGACTTGAGTAGTCTGTGTGTTATCGCACAGCAATGCGATATCGTCCGCATATTCAAGGTCAAGTAGCCTAGTGGATAATGATACTTCATTATTTGAAGCGATGAGTACGAGGTTCGAGTCTCAATGGGAACAACACTTCACACTGGGTTACAGTTACGTGCAGCTGGTTAGTGAGTCCTAAATATTACGAAATGGGCATCCCGGATTCCTTTGCTAACCACAATCAAGTTAATTATAGCAATAAATATTCAGGCAATATCTCAAGGCATCTCCGTAGATGAGCCCATTTACCAAAAGAGGAAACTTGTGATGATAACTGAAAGTCAGTTACAAATCTCTTAGAAATATTCATACTTCAATGTCTTTTATTTAAAATTCTTCCTCTTCTCATATATTTTTGTCTTGTTCTTCTTCTTCTACCCACTTATTCTTTATATGGTACTCTGAAAGTAAGGAGACTTGAAGTGATCCACTTCTTTGAAAGAATCTGCATTTATTTGTTTATCTCTTTTAATTTACAATACACTATGATCCTGTATATTACATGATGTATGATGTAATACAACTGAAAACTTCTGTATTCTCTGCTGTACTGAAGTGGATTCATATGCAAGCTAATTCACTATGAAACAATATAAAGCTTACTCTTTTTGTTTCAATATTCAAACAAATTTTGTTACACCTATATTAGTGGTTTATAGAAAGAAAATATAGTCGAATATCTTTCATTGATTGTGATGATGAACAGACAGGTAGATTATTTTATATGCAGAAGCATAACTCACTTGTCTACAAAAGTAACAAATATGTGTCTAACTCGAGACCATGAAAGAGGTGGGAGTAGGTTGTGGTTGTGGTGGTGGTGGTAGATAACATAGGTGAACAACCAGATGATTTCCACTAGATCAGCCATGCACTGATTTAATTGACTTAACTTCTTTCATCACCACCACCACCACCATTGTTTAGTCTTGGACAGAATACCTGCCTAAGCCTCTATGATCCGTATGTCCAAATTTCAGTCCTTATTTACTTATATTCACTAGTTTTCTGCCATGTATAGCATAAGTAAAGTGTATAATGTTTGTTGTTATTGCTTATCAAACTAGGTAGACAGCATTGTTTGAAGAATGTATTGATGGTAAAAGATGGATTATTAATAGAACAAACTACTTTTGTTGTCCAGTAGTATGTTCCGTTATTTCAGGATACTTTTGTGTCAGATGAGACACTTTGTGATCTTGGTTAGATGGTCTGTCTACTGTTTACTGGTTGTAGGAAACAGGATATAGTAAAATCTGTCTATGGTCGATTGAAAGATGAGAATGCCAAGTTAACGAAGCCCTTACTTGAACGTAATAGCAATGCTTATCCTGAGGAAATCTGGCATGATATTACGTCTGCTATAGAAACAGCGGTACAGAGAATCGGTAACCCATACCCAAAGATTAGTAAACGTCATTGGTTTTCCGCTACGTCAACCGAACTGTTTGAGGCTAGAAGACTGATTCCAGCTGGTTGGCACTGACCTCGATGAAGAGCGAAAGCAACTTAGACGTAAATTGATTAACAGTCTTGGCAACGATCGTTACCAACAGTGGGTGGTGATAAGCAGAGAGATGGAGAAAACACCAGCATTGGGTGATACGGCGATTATTAAGGCTAATTAAGAATACCGGCAAGAAGAAATCCATGGTTATTGAAACTCAGGACAGGTGGCTAGAAAGTTAAGTAGAGCACTTTAAAGCACTGTTCAACTGGCCTCCGGCAACTCTGCAGTTGCCCAGCATGCAGCCTGAACCTGAATGGGACGTAGATGTCGGTCCTCCAACTCTCTTTGGAGTTGAGAAGGCTGTATCGAACCTGAATTAATGCAAAGCAGCAGGACCAGACAGTTTTCCACCTGAAGCTTTCAAGAATTGAGGTAAGAAATTGCTGTTTAAAGTGATGGAGGTACTGTATACTGTATGGGAATCAGAAGTAGTGCCGTTTGAGTAGTGTACTGCATTGATCATCCCAGTCTATAAAAAATCGGGGAAAATTGCCTTGTAGCAACCATATCATAAATACCGAGAATACAAAGCATGTTTGTGACGTGGATAACCTTGCATTGATTATACTTTCACCCTCTGATAGGTTCTGATACTTATCATATGTCTTGGCCACAAGGCAACATTTGACTGTATCGAATGTTAGGTATTGTGTCAGTGTCTAACTGTGAAGGGAGCACTGAGCGGGTATATAACGCTAATCAAAGCTCTCTACTGGAACTGACGTAACCGTGGAAGGGCTTCCAGAGAGTTGTCATTTGAATTGACAACAACCATTGGTGTCCATCAGGGATGCCTACTGTAAACATTAGTATTCAATTTCGTTATAGATGTAATAATGGACATAACATAGTGATTCATCTACTTCTTAGAGGGTATCTGGTTGACTCGATGAGTTTTTTTTAGCCTTTCCCGATTGACTTGACTTAGACATGTGTTGCACATGCCCAATCACCGCCTAACCTAGGCTCCAATGCTTGTCAACGTTAGATTAGGCTTGAAGAACGCTCAGGTTGACTAGACTAAGTCGATGAAGTTTTTGTCTGTTATTATGAGTCATGTAGGGAGGTGTAAACTACCTTGTTGGTATCTTCAAGATGATAAGAATCACTTCTTTTTATGCTACTGTTAAGTGTAGCAAGTTGTTTCTCTATCTGTCTAGTGGTTTCTAATGGGAAGCATCTTGACACTACAAGTTGAGCAGTTGATATAACCCACTTATTTGTGAGAAATGTGAATAATTTAAATGGTTATTAAGTTGAGTGTTTTAGGATACGTTTTGTTGGTAGCTAATTTTTTTTATTCGACTTTTCTAGAAAGCTTCTCATATAATTTACTTCGTAACTTATTCGTTTAAACTCCTTTGAATTCAAACAAACATCTATAGAGCAGCTCAGCCGGTGTTAAATGATGCATATCAGAATCTGCTGAACTAAACTACTATACACATTCTTCGAGAAAACATCGATGTCTGTAATATATTATATATATGCTTGTTGAATTCACCTATTCATTGTCTTTCTCCTTCTAAATTGGTATGGTTTGAAATTATGCTAATTTCTTGTTTCCTATGTTGTTGTTGTTGTTTTTTTCTTTCTAGGCTACTCTAACCAGTCCTAGTGTTCTACTACGTTGTGTTGCTGGTGAATGTTTAGGTAGACTTGTTCAAGTTGTTGGTGAATCAAATTTTTTAGCAGAATTAGCTCAACAAATATTTGAACGTTTACGTACAGTTCGAAATCCTATTGCAAGAGCTGGTCATTGTTTAGCCATTGGTTGTTTACATCGTTATGTTGGTGGTTTAGCATCTGGACAACATTTAAGTTCAAGTGTTGGTGTATTGTTAGCTATAGCTCAAGATTCTAGTGTACCTGAAGTTCAAGTATGGGCGTTACATGCTCTTGCATTAGTTGCTGATTCAGGTGGTCCAATATTTAGACAATATGTTGAACCAAGCTTAAGTTTAGTATTGCAACTGTTATTGAAAGCACCGAGTGCTATGCATGAAATTCAAAGGGGTCTTGGACGTTTATTTGCTGCCTTGATTACTACCCTGGGACCTGAATTACGTGGTAAGTAACTTTTATCTCATTTTTATCATATATATATATATATATATATACATTAATTGTCATCGGTTGGTATAAATTCTTCGAGTCAGAACGTTTTATGGAATTATAGCTCATTGGTTCAGAAAGGTGGCCTTCAACCACTAGTGAGTGGGCTACAGATTCGAACACACCACTCCACCTGCCGACGTATGCGCAATCAGGTAACATTGTTGGACCTCACACAATAGGTGTTTACCTCATTGCCCCCTACACAGATCTCTACAAGGTTCCTGAGTGCATTTTAAACCTTCATTGCTTTACATCATTACGTGAATAAAATACATGTGCACTACTTTTTTTTAAACCACCCTTGAGATCATAAAAAAAAAGGTTCATCATAATGGATGTTATCTTTCAAATGCATAAATTGAATGGTTACAGGGAATATGTTATGGATCTTGTGTAGCCCTATACCTTACCAACACACACTGCATTGCGTGTTAGCAACGAAGAAGAAAAAATCTCTTCTTTTCGACGAAGTTATTTACTACTAAGCTGTACATTTGTGAATATATGTTACAATGAACAGAACGTTCCAGAATTATTTCCGGTTAAGGGGGCAAAATATATATTCAATAACTAAAGGAAGTTAGTGAATGCACATTTGGGTTTAGAGTGGGAAAATAGACAAGGAATTATGAAATTAAAATTGTAATTATACAATACAGGATGAATGTAAGACAAAGTAGGAAAATGAACGAAGGGTTGTGGAAATAGAATTGTGGTTATGTAATGCTGGATAAACCTATTACAGAGTAGGAAGATGAACAAGCGATGCAAGAAATACATGTATAGTTACCTAATACATGATGAATCTATAACAGTCAAAGCTTAAAGATGGCCAAAGCAAAGATAAATGTTGGACGTACCTTTTTTGGATGCATGACGTTAGTTTGAACTTCTGGATCGCTAGTACTTTAGCTATAGACAAACTCCTTGATCTTACTTCTTTCGAGTGGTTTAATCAAACCTTGTAGAGAATTTCGAATGAGCTTTCAAAAGGAGCTAAGTGGCCTGAGTTATTGAACTGAAGGTACATTTCCGTCCTCCATTTGCTAGCTAGGCTGGGTAGTTTTCGTGGGCATGTTTTGAAAAGCGGACTCGTGGTATGGCCGATGTACTCAACTCCACAAGAGCAAGTAAACTGATATACACACATTGATGTGGCCCAATGCGTCGGCTTGTCTTTCACATATTGACCAAAGAGTTTCTTGCAGGAGAAAATAATCCGAAGTTTGGCGGCGAAGTATGTTCTATTTAAGGATTTTGACAGTCGTTTCCTGAGGATGTCTGCAGCAATATCGTTTCGTTCAGTTGGTTTCTTTGACTTTATGTTTTAATCTATGAATCTGAGCGGGAAACAGTTTTCCGCTAGAGGAAGCTGTTGATGGAGAACCGTAAATACTTTGATGAATTGATCCATCACCTACCTCTATGTACCATGCTAGGTGAAGCTGATTTAGTTTGGGGGCAGCCAATGAAATCCCTGACTGCTAGTCTGAATAGTGTGAGGAGATGTAGACTACCCCGAGACTCTTGGTGAGAAGGCTGAAAACCAGTCACAGTGGCGCAGATGTATTCACTCAGTGATGTCTTCTAAAGCTTGAATATTCACATAGATACACGCACACACATACATGCACAGTTATCCCAAAACTATTTCTACTTTGATATCAGTCTTTTTCTATCCACCTGTTCTTTGTTTACTACTGAGAAGTATGGCAACGTGAACCGATGCACCTATATGCGAGGTGTTACATTGATTTTGTCATATCAGTCAGTCAAGTGAGGTATTTGTTACTTGACCTCACTTTCTATCTAGAATAATGATGATTTGGTTCTATATTCGCATTATATGTCTGTGGTCTTTGTCTCCTATGTAACTATATACCTTAAACTACCTCATTATATTATTTATTGACATACTTGTTATTCTCCGTTGTTCTGTTGGATCGAATTGTTCGACCTCTATTTGCATATGGGCTCTTATGTGGATGCCTCGGTATTGCCTGAATTTTAATAATGATAATTTGGTTGGTTGTGGCTAGCAGAAGAATCCAGGATGCGCGTTTCGTCTTGTTCGGGACTCATCAGCTGGATGTTCCTGCACCCCAGTGATGTTGTCGATATCGAACAATTCGATCCAACAAAATTGCGGAGAATAACAAGTATGTCAATAAATAGCAATAACTACCACCCATTATAAAAGAAGTGGTCATCGTTCCCCTCTGGCATAGTGGATAACGCCTTGGCGTTTGGAGCTGTGGGTACGAGGCTCGAGTCCCAATGGGAATAACACTGAGGTGCAGGTGCATCCAGCTGACGAGTCCTAAACAAGACGAAGTGCGTGTCCTGGATTCTTCTGCTAGCCACAACCAACCAAATTGTCATAAATAATATTATTTAGTATTAAAAGGCAATAGAATTGTATACAACTAATAATTTTCGTTTACTGTAAGGCATATTCTATGTTTAATTGTTAGCTGGAGCAATACAGGTTATCATACAGCTTGTTCTCTATTGTTGATCAGAGATTGTCGTTACATTAATGATAAGTTTTCAACGAAGTATCGATCAGAAGAAGCTTACTTTAAATATCTGCTTATTTAAGTAAATCTATTCCACCTAATCATTGAACATTGGGTGTAGAGTTGCCAGATATAATTTACTTGGATTACTTTTAATGAATAGTTTAATTGATGACCGGTTGAATTACAGTGTGATACACTAAAATAAAAACTGCATCGGAGGAACAAGAATAATTTGATTGAACATTTTTTTTCAACAGCTTTCTACTCCACTGGACCCCAACTGGCTAGTCTACATCTCCCTACATAGATGAAACAAACAGTCAAGGACTCTATGCATTGATACCATGTTTTAGTCTAACCATCCGGAGCCTTTTTCCAGCCTGAACCTATTTCAGCCAAAATTGTGTGACGAGGCAGATGGTAGGTGGTTAGACATACATAACACATGTCTCGACCAGACATTGATGAAGGTTCACGACCGCATCCTCCCTAAAAATCTATGTTTGACTTCTGCGTTACTCACGTGGTGATACCATGAAACACGGCCTATACTACAAAGGCAGTGGTGGTTATGCACCTGAAGCCTTCCTATGTCTTCTGCCTTTAATGGCAGTGTTTCACAGTCATATAGTAGAACAAAGCCGTCTACAGCATAGTACACTTGACCCTTAATAGGCGATAGGATATCGCAGTGACGCCAAAAATGGCGTAAGTTGGCGAAAGCCTACCGACTTCTCATGTAAATGAGGTGTTTAACGCGCTCAACCACTTCACTGCCTATTGTTAACCAGGTCACCGTTGAAGATCAGTCCTTAAGAAACAATTTGCATTTGTGTGGCATGAGACGCATGCTAAGCATTCTCAAATTGCCACTCAAGGTGTCCAGAAGACTCTACATTTTGTCACTGTCTTCACCTAACATCACTATGTCATCCGGGTATTCTAGGTCTACCGAAAATTCCCCTGATCAAATCAAATGGTTGTAGTGAAAATGATAGTCAATATGATAGCTTCCCCTCTCTAATTCAGTTAGATTTGGGTCTGGATAAGAAGTCCTGACCAGGCTAGCTAGTGTGTGTACGATCCAGTAATAGTAACGCGTCATGAATTCACATGGTAGTCGATGAAGCCTCTTGGTGACTGAAATGAAATAAAAATCTGGTCAGCAGTCGGGCCCCGTAGGTTAAGTGATAGATGGTCACTGGTTCAAACCTGACAGCGGGTCAACTTTTTATTACACCTTCGATTGTCATCCAGTTTCAATACTAGTCTGCTAAACCACAACTATCTCAGGTAGTCAAACTGATAATTTATGTAATGATGAAGTATGTCCAGGTAAGGTGAAAAAGCATATGAAAGCGATAATCAGATAACAAATGTAAAGTGTTATGTAAAGATTGTAAATGACTACTGATAATGCTGAACACAACCCCATTCATAAACTTTCCCTACCACAAATCTTAAATTTTAACCTCCCACCTTTTTCTTATGTAATTAGTTTTTAGCCCTTGTTGATTCCGTTTATTACTAGTAAGTAAGTAGTCTTTTCAACCATTAACACTTCACTTTTGTTATTCTTTATTATATTCACATGATTTTTCACCCTACTTGAATATGATCAATATTACACCTGTGATGCATTGGTCCTAATCTAAGTAGTACTGATACTAGAACATATTTTGATGTATGCACATGTAGTTGATGAGTGCCGATTATTATGAAATGTGTACTGCAAACAACTATCAAATAGCTATAGAAAATTTCATCAAATTTATGTTTACGATAATATTAAATGGCTACTTGGGAAAGTCGCGTATTAACCCTGGGCAAATTGGTGAAATGACCGAGGTAATCTCAACACAGAAAGAAAAGGTTTGCTTGGCTTTTCCCAGCTTGCCGAGTGTAATGTGCTGCAGTTCGCTCTATTCTACTATGTGACTGTGAAACATTTTCATTGAAGAAGAAGGACATGAGAAAGCTTGGACTATTTGACCATCGTTGCCTTTGTAGCACAAGTTGCATTGTGATGTCACCTTGTGAACAACTCAAAAGTTAGATGTAGAGTTTTAGGGAGGAGAGGAAAATCACTTGATGAGATTGTGAACCTTCATTGGATTTGGTGGTTAGGATATGTCTACTCGATGACTACTCTGACTCACAATGTTAGTTAAAATAGATTCCGACTGAAAAGTTGGTTAGAGTTGACCAGACGAGAACATTGCATCATTACATCGAATCTTTGACTGTTAGTCTGAGCCGTGTAGGCTAATGAAGACCTACCATTTGGGGTCCATATGACAGCAGAAATGGATGGTTAAAGATCACAAGTGATGTGAATTGGAATCACTCTCTATTGCACAGACGTATCCACGCAATTGTTCTGAATCTTTGTATTTCAACCTGGTATTCATCATGGAGTGGGAGTAATGG